GAGAGAATCACTTCAGGACAATGTCTGAAGTAGGGCTGTCACGATTAAGTCGACTATCAAAATCGTCGACGACTGATTTAATAGTCGACGCGTCGTTTGAAGCTTTGTAAGATCACAAAAGACGCAGGAATAAGTAGTAGGATTTAAGAGTGTAATAACGGACTGAAACAGAAGATGGCAGCACTGCATGTACAAGGATGCCAGCTGCCGTTAAACCCCGAAGAAGAAGAAGCTGTGTTCCAGAATTCATAGCGCAGCCCAGCTCAGTTTCCAACAATGGCGGCAGCTGGTTAGTTTTAATATTAACTCTTATTATTCTTTCTGGGTCACAAAATAAACGTTTAACATATTTTCAGGCGAGAATGTAACTGTGTAAACCTCAAATATCTGCTCAGTTTATCAAGACATCACATATTTTCAAAAGCGCTCCGACGTTTTCGGAGACGTCTGTTACCCACTAGCTCGATAGCGAGCCAGGGTCAAGGCTCACTAGAGCCGCTGAGAACATCGGACTCCCGGCAAATCGTTTTCAAACCCACCGCCGTCTTTCGCTACTCAGGTTAAACATATATAAGTCACTTAGATAACTTCAAAATGTTATTGTTTGGCTTTTTTCAGTGTTTTATTTGTTCCTGAGTAAATCGGTTTGGCTGAGATTAAATTATAGTTTTTACACAGCTGAATAAACGTCAAGCAGAAAACTGATTATCAGAAGTGTGAGATGCTCGAGAATATACTCCGGTGTCCTGTTATATTTTAGATAGCAAGGAGTTTATTAAACTTCACCGAAACAATCTGTAAATTTCATTAAAGTTTAATAAACTATCATCTTGTCTTTATTTTTAGTTAGCACATATCTTAAACACTTACAGCTGTAAGCTAATGATAGTTATATAAGAGCAGATGCTGCTGGTGCAATAAGCTGCACGTTTTACGTCCAATGGATGATGATCTGATTAGTCGACTAATCGCAAAAATAATCAGTGACTAGTCGACTATCAAAATAATCGTTTGTGGTAGCCCTGGTCTGAAGTAAGGAGAAGGTCCACTTGAGACACCCCGTCACTAGAGGAAATACTTTGTAGGGTTTAGACATTTGTGCCGCGTGGGTAGAGCATGCAGACGGCAGGATGCACTGTATGACACCAGCGCACTCGCTGTGAATTCACTGGAATGTGTCAGTGTCACATGCCTGCTACTGGACATCCAGAGCTTGAAGGTTTAAGACCCTTCTGACTTTACTGAATATTTGTATTCCCACACGTATCTCCGATGGGCAATGTCTTAGAAAGTTCAGGTCCAGAGTGCATTTGGGAAAATTACTTAAGTTGAATTAATACGATTTATGCAGGGAAGGAAACATAACCATGAGTTTACTGATGCTATTATGCTGACCTGTTTTCACTTAACTTATATTTTTATACGTTTTGAGTTGTGTATTTATTCCATGCTATATGGCGTGTGGTGGAAAAAGTTTGACAACCACAGTTTCAAACAATCATTGATGTATAGTTTCATCAAATTCCAGCCAGACAGACTTGTGCTATTGAAAGACTGTCTTTGAATTAGGAAATGCTGTTTATTTGGCCTAAAATCCATACAATGGTCATAAATCACTTAATACTAACAAAGCCTCTTTTCAATAACAGCTCTTCTGTGCCGTTTCTAATGCATTGATTAGCAAAATGCTGTATGTGCTTCAATGGGTTATGCTTACGTAATGCATTTCTACTGTACTGTAACAAATTACAGAACAAAGAAAGTCCTAAAGAATACCTTTGTTTTTATTTTAAAGGGTGCATGTGCAATAAACATGCATTGAGGTTAGAGCTGGGCGATAGAACGATAACGATATGTATCGCGATATAACTTTTACTCGATAGAGAAATTAAGCTATCGCGATAGACCTCGCCGCTCTTGTCCTCTTAAAAAAAAAAAAAAAAGGTCAGCCAATCCAAATTAAGTAGCGCAGAGCCGAACCAATCACAGCCGCAGCGTCACGTCGCGTGACTTGTTACGTACAGCACAAGTGCCAAGCCGCACGTGTGTTTGTTTGGGAAGCAGCCAGCGGGTAATGGAGGAAATGAGTGTGCCGACTAGAAAAATCAACCGAGCGTGACCGAAGAGAAAACAGATGATGGTTCCAATGCCGGAGAGATTGTCGAACGGAAGAGCCATAGAAGTTCCGTAGTGTGAAGGTATTTCGGCTATTTCAAGTCTGACAAAAAACAGAGTAGCGTGCACTGTAAATTGTGCCGAAAGCAAGTCTGGAAATACAATAAACTGGTGCATGCGTCACACTGTGCGCCACGTTATTGTTTCGGTGAAATGAATTTCTACAATACTGTTAATTCTACTCTCTGCAGTGTTTAAATGCTTACATATACACACAGTTACTGTCCCTCCACACATACGACTCGGTTCTGCTTCTATGCCCCAGCTTTGTTTACTTTTTCCCACCGAGGCTTCTAGACTTCTGATTGGCCAACATTTCTGCACGGTTAGGAATCTAGCGCCACCTGCTGCTTTGGCATGTTCATAGCAGCGTTTTCCTTCATTTCTGCCTTTATGTGTGGACGGGATTATTTTTTAAAACGAAAACGGAAAATCTCCGTTTTCAAAAATACCCGTGTACGTGTGGACGTAGCCTCAGTCTCTGACTGGAAGCGCTAATTCGTCATTCGGCTTTTGTCAGACTAAAGTAACTGTTAAAACTGTTTGAAAAGCTAAGCTATACAACAAGGAGAGATTGAGAATTTCCTTTTAGTTCTCAGTTTATTTGATATTGACAAAAGTTAGTCAGTTTTGTCTGTTCTTCTGTAAAACAAACTAAGATTTATTTTTAGAATTAATATTTTGTTTCTAAGTGGAATTGACAATTTAGTCTGTTTCGTTTGTTCTATTTTGAAACTTAAACGCTTTAGCGGCTGCCTTTTGTGTAGTTTGCAATATTTGCCTTTATTTATCTGAAAAAGTCTCATGTTCCTTAAGTACATCTACCCTGTTGAACTTATTATGGGAAATAAATATTTAAATAAAAACAAGCTGCTGATTATTTCACATTTTACTTGTGAGCAACGGCACATTTAAATCTTACAAATATAGTTATTTGGCTTATATCGTGATAGATATCGTTATCGCCTGAAATGAAAAAAACATATCGTGATATGAAAAAATCTCATATCGCCCAGCTCTAATTGAGGTCATATAATATAGGGGGTGCTAGGTTTTGTCATGATATACACTGCAACCTTGCTAAGCTGTAATAAGAGAACAGAAGCAGAAATTGATATGAGGTATAGTTTGGTCAAGATTTACCAGAAGCCTAAAAGAAAGCAATTGTGCCAGTATCAAAATACAAATATGGTTTGTGCAATCTGAACTTGAGATTTAAGCAAAACAACAGCTTAAAGATACTTGAAACCTGAAACAAGCAGACAATGGGCTTACACAGAGGTCAAAGATGAGTTGTTCAGGTCACTCCTGAAATGCTGAGTGCTTCATGTAAAAAGCCTTCAGTAGTTCAAACAACCAGGACACAAAGACATACCTACATCCGCATGACTGTTGCTAAAGTACCACCACCTGTGTGTGTGTGGAAACTGTGGAGTATCAGCCTCCAGGGCCCCACTGCCACCCAGGCAAAAACAAAAACACAAGAGGATTAAGAGCAGCATTTTCAGCGTGAGCGAATAAAACCAGCATGTCTGGACTAGCCCTCTGCACTGCGACAGTTCCTTAGGGTGTATGGCACAACCTCCAGTTACGACCCCAACACTTCCTGTGACACAAACACCAAATGAATTTATTTTCAGTCTTTACAAATCCTGATATCCAGAAGAACAGGACAAACTTCCAAATGATTCTTTGTGTTTCCAGTCAAACTGGCCTTTTATAAATCTGTTATTCCTGCATGGCTGGACAAAGCAGCAAATACTGGGTGGGCTGCCATGCTGTGCCCCAGCCAAAGAGAGAAGAGAAAAAGGCTGGCTCATAATCAAACAGATAGATAATGAACATGCTCCTTGATTAAAAAATAAGCCTCTGCCCAAACAAGTCTACCGAGAGTTTGTTTTGAGGGGGAAAAATATATATATATACCCCCCCTCTTGGTGTATGAATAATATCTAGAGTAAAAATTAGAGGGAGTAAAGCCTTTCCCATGTGAAGCAATATTACCTCAGGGACTTGTGCAAAAAAGGGAAGGCACAGATGGATTCACTGAAGAGAAACACATCCTCAAAGGGGCGGTGGAGGGTGTCACCACATTGGATTCACTCAGTCATGCCAGCGCAGTGACAGACGTTCTTTCACCGTGTCCTGCATGAAATGTACCCAAGCCCTCATTATGCCTACTGTGGATGGCTTGAACTATACTCTGTGTGCGTGTGTGTGTATGCGCACGTGAGCGTACATGTCTAATTAATCGCCAAAATCCTCCCCATCAGTCTCTAACAAATAGACAGCATTCACGCCTGGTACCAGAGGTCAGGATCTGAGCCAAGTGGTTGAATTAACTGTCCAATAGCTGCTGGATCGTGAAACGATGCAGAATTTCAACTGAGGATTGTTTTGTAGATGACAAAGAGGGAAAGTAATGCTTTGTTGTAACATTTGGTTTACACTATACTTGGAAAGTTTAAACAGCTTACATGCCGTATTGGCTGGTTGTTTTAAAAATTAGACCTTGGGGAAAACCCCAACAAAAATAAAAAAAAATTGGCACTATATTAAAAAAGATAATCTAGTGCCAGACAGCCAAGCTCGACGCATATATCCGCACACACTCTCTGGTAAAAGCAGCAGTAGGCCTCTCAATGGGACTGAAAGATAAGTGACCGTTTTCTGCTCTGCGTCAACTTATCAGCAGCTTGTGGCTTTTTTTTTTTTTTTTTTTTTTAGATCGCCTTTCTAAATGACAAAAGCTTAATGAGCCAGAAATTAAGGGATTTGTCTGCATGACTTTAATTTTAGAGTCGTTATCACAAGATGGGCACACTCTGTCTTTTTTTTTTTTTTTTTTTAAATCAGCAGCCTCCTTGCTAAACTCAAATACCCAAACTGACTATAAAGACCTTAAGCAGAGAGCCCTGACAAACAAGATGAGTTAATAAAGCCCCATGGTGTTCACTTTAATGACACCAACTGCAGCAGGCTATACACTCGCTGACCAAAGAGAACACCCAAGCCCGCAAACTTAGTCACTTCAACCAGATAATAGCAATTCACAACAGCTGAGAAGCTGAAAAACGCCATAACAAGACAACAGAGATAAAAACTGGAACACGGTACACAGCTACTGCACTCCTGAAGCATATTGTAAGCTTAATTGCACCCTTCCTTGATTTACCTACATCCACTGTGATTTTGTTAGTGCTGTGTGTAGATGTTGTGCTTGCTGTGAGTGAGCATGTGTTTAAGTTCTTACCAGAGTGACTCTTCAGGAATGTCCAACTAGCACACAAGGATAAATTACATCTCAGTTGCTCCTCAAGGGTTGGGCAATAGTCATAGCCAAAGCGCCCTATCATCATCCTACGTGACTGCCAATATAAATAAAGAGCTAAATAATGCATCAAGGTCATTTATTGGTAAGGTAACTGAGATAAATGATTAGTCAGTGCAATAATCTAATTAAATATAATTGGGAGTTGGGTCAGAACGAACTTGAGATTCAAGTTTAACAATTTAGGAAAAAAATCGTAACAATAAATTCTGTTTATCTATGAGCCAGACGAGAGAAGAGCCAAAACCTAAGAGCTTTCATGCATCACCACCTGATTTTCTCAGTAAAAACCTTTCAAGTATCATCGGTGTCATCTTACTGCAGTTCGTCTTTCTTTGATTTGGTTTTCTTAAAGACATTTGGCATACTACTTTGATTTGGCACTCAAATAACAACTTTGATTCCCTGGAAACTGGCAGCATAAAGTCTTAATTAGTAGAGTGCATACACTCAACCTGCTGTGGGTGTGAACAATAAGTTTAAAGTCCATCAGCCACTAAGTTTGAACTAAGACAAATGTGTTCAAGAGTCTCACACATCCACAAACAACCCCCACCCCCCAAAAACCCAAGTATATACACACATCTCACTAGCTCCCAGTTTGGATTTAGACAAACTGTACTTGTAACTGAGAAGCCAGCAAAGACACACAAAGCACAATGGAAAACAAAACAACAGAGAGGAAGGCGCGAACCAAACCCTTCTGGCACACCCAAAACCACACGCACATACCTATAAAGGGAAACAGACTAATGCAGGTAAGCTCACACAGGACAGGCCTCAAAGCTGATTCATGTAAACGACACTGAAACACATTCAGTTAAAACAAAGAGACAAAGGAACTTCGATCCTTATCAATTTAGGTATTGCAACTTCACCCTAGTCCATTCACAACACAGAACTGCTGACCTAGAAAAGGACCTCTATAAGCTCAGGCAGGAAATGTGTGATTCTCACAGGATTATCAGATATGCATGACAAGAACCCACAACAACTCATGTGACTGTTCCCATCTCCTGAACTGGTTTCCTTGCATGACTTTGTCATCTGGTAGTCACAGTGGTGACCAACATACTTCCTTTGTCCTTTTAGTATGCTTAAGGCCAAAACCACCTGTTTCTGTGGTCACTCAATGCTGGAAAACAATGATGGCTCATTGGAGTGTAAAAAAGGCCAATGACTGGACAAAAACTGCCAGCTGCACACCACCAGTTACTGTGTTTTTATTTTTGGTTTGTTTTTCTACACTATATTATCCAAGTCTACAAGAGTCGGCACATATGGTGCAGAAATACATCCTATTAATTGCAATACTGTGTCAGTAATTAAGGGTAAGTAAAAGGACGTAATACAATCATAACTGTTTAATGATCAACTCTGTATTGCATGAAAGCTTCCACTGTTGCCAGTACAGCTGAAAGAGCTGATGTAGTTTACACACATTTCTATTCAACTCTATGCCTGTTACTAGCATACTACCAGCTCCTGATCACCAACTCTGATGAGGAGGTCCTCATCATGAGCTTTAATCCTGGATCAGCAAAACTCAACAGGCCCCAGTAACAATGCAATTCTGGGGAGTTCTATATATATTAAACTATGTGTCAGCAGCAGTGCACTGGTTGCTACTGAAAGAGCTAACAAAGCATGGAGGAAGCTAACAGGAGCCAACAGGTTGGTAGTTTAGTATATGATCCAAGCCTATGTCAACAGTCCGTCGGCCGACATGGACAGTGATAACAGAGGGTGTTTTTTTGTTTTGTTTTTACAATGGCATGAGAAAGAGGAGCTCTCATGGAAAACCTGTGCAAACACAGGGAGAATATCCAACCTCCGTATGCACCTAGGACCCATTTGTTGTAAGGGACAGAGCTAACCACTGAACCACCATCTGATAAGACTTCTTATCTGTTACTTCATCCATTTGAGAAGGTAAACTCAATGTGAAACAGAGACCATGAATTACAGAAAGATGCAGTAAAGACTTTTATTTTGAGCGGAACTATGACAAAAGCAAATAAATTAGCTAAATAATCATTCCATTTATGGTCTAGGTCCTGTTGATAGATTAAAAAAAAGACCATTTAAAAACATTTTTGCTACATTTTAAATTTAAATTTGAAGTTAGGAAAGCAATCTTTCAATTGACCCTCATGCTGTCTTAGACATAAAGCAAAACTCCCAGTCCTTTCCTCTCAGTAAGGAAAAGCTTTATTAATCTAACACTGGTGCTGGATCAGTACCCTGTATTGGCAGCCAAGGTACCCATACCAGTGTGTAACTGGAAGAAAAATAATTACCTTGTTTAAAAGTTGCTGCAACACATCTTGCAAAGTAGATTTGTGTAACCACACTGGTCCAACAACAGGATTTTGGATTATGTGATTTGGACACGCCAATCACCCTGATGTTGGGTATTGTTTTGTTATCTTCTTCAACATAACTGAAACCAAAGAGGGTGTTCTGAAACTTTGCAACATGGGATCGAGTCAAGCCGGCCACATTCAGCGGTTTTGAAATGCCTTGCGTCACGCGTGCCAATTTTCCAGACTGGTTTCACAGTTTAAACAATTGAGTTTAAGACATCAACAGTGACAGGTGATGCAAAAACGAGATCATACTGTGCCAAAACATACAGTATTACTGCGTGACAGATTTTGAAATCTACTCTATGCTGTCAGCCTGTTGTTGGGAGAGGACAAAATGACTTTAGTGTTTAGCAACGCAAAGTAAAACGTTTTTCCCGTTGAACTGGTTAGGTTACATTGATAACCAAAAAAAGGCATAGGCATGGTGATGGGGTGTCAGATGCATAGGGGCTGTTTCGAAAGAAAAGAGAGCACACTCTTCTTCTGAGAAAAGATATGTCATGTGAAATGAAATGACAAAAAAAGAACTGTTGTATCACTGTTTCAGATTAGTTCAAGTTGCTAAATGTTTATGCAATTATTTGTAGAACATAGATGCTACAAAACATGTCTACATGTCCAAGTTTCTATGTGAACAATTTCGTACTTTTTCCTCTAATTTGCCATCAAATAAGACAATGATGGTCTCTGATTAATTTGTTTTTCTTTTCTGACATTCAGAGTTAACTATAATTTGCAAAAACCTGAAGACACTGATAAAATATTAAACTGTTGCTTTTCATATCAAGTCTGTTCAAAGGTTAAGTCAAACATCCTCAGCATGACTGCTCTTCAAAGACCTCATTGCTTTCTTTGCAGGTGGGGTGAATCCTGTAATTGTCTGAGACAAAGCAACTTTCCTTGGGGAGTTCAACATAACCAGAAAGAACAGCTTAAAAAAATGTGCACATGCGTCACTCGTGAAATGATTCAGACTTTGCAGAAATGATCAGGCCTCCATAGTTTCAAAGCTCTGGAGAGCTTTTTTTCAATGTAAATCCAAAAGGTATTAATTCACACGAATAACTCAATAATGACCTTTTGCTTGCTGCAAATTGCCCTCTTTGAGCCAAATGTCAAGACATTCTTTCATCATTACCTGTCAGTCTCCCATGGAGCTTGGAATAAAGGTAGATGAGCAAACAATTTACAAGGCCATTTCCTAAGGCATGGGAATATTACTCCAAGTTGTCACATCTGACTCCGGTTAACCAATTTATATTTATCGCCTAATAAAAACAAAAAGAAAAATGTTTCTGCTCTTACATTAAACCGTCACGTAGTATGAAACCCAGACACACAAATAAAACAGAAAGTCTATAAGGAAATGAGGTGCCCTCAGTTTTTACTAACTACACAAAAACTGCCTGAAGTAAATGTTTTCATGTACATGAGTTTAAATGCACGTCCACAACCTCTACTACTGCACACCCTCTTTCTAATATAAAACTGTAATGACCTCACCACAGCCAAGAGTTGGGAAAGTAGCCAGCTTCCTCAAAACGCAGCAGGAGTATCCTCCAGAGGAAACTGAAAGAGCCTCCATAGCGCAAAAAAAAAAAAAAAAAAGCACAGTCAGAGATGACACATACTCTCCCTCCCCTACTGGCTGTGCAGTGGACACAATAGATCTCGATGGTGAGGTATCTGCCTGGCAGCCCTGGAGAAGACATCCACTAAGGAGCTGAAAGGCCTGAAGTGTGTGCAGTAATGCAGCACTGTTGTCACTGGAAAGAAGACAGAGAAACGCAAGAGGATGCCAGGAAAAAAAGAGTGGCAGCGCTGGCAGGATGGTGACAAGTCAGTGTTGGAGTTAAGACAAGATTTCTCTAGTCTAGTCTAGTTTTTTGCACTCGTCTAAGTTCTTTGATTTAGAGTTATCAGTGCAGAGTACGTAAATGATTCATCGAGCAAAATGACAAGAACAGACCAACCTTTGGGCTCTTGTTAACTACTGCTCTGTGTTTGTGTGTAGGACAAGGGCAATAGTCACACAAAGTCAACACCAGACCTGAACTCATCAGTCAACGCGTCCTTTCACTATTGTCCAGACCGACAGCTTAACAAGCGTGAAGAGCTGACGATGAGTGAGGAATAATGAAACAGAATGTTATAAAACGGACCTGCAGACTTTATGGACAGTGTAGTTAAAGTCGGGCACACACTATACAGCCTTCATTTAGAGCATGATGAATGAGGCCGGGCACGTATACAGCCACTGTGGCAACTCTTACAGCAAATTACTCAGTTCATCAGGCGGGATGATGACCATAAGAGGTAAGTGCCAAGTCTTTAACCACAAACAGGAAAAAACTCCCTAATGATCCAGGGAGGTGGACAAATATGCCTGCCAAATATGGGGTGAAAATAGCTGTTTAGATTGTAGAGCTCTTGCTAGATTCCCAGAGATTTCACTGAGATCCAACAGCAGCGGTATTAATGTTACGCAATTCTCACTGAAGAGAACTGATGCTCATGCAACCATCTGCCCCTTGCTCTGATTAAATCATGACCCGTCCTGTAGCCAAATATAGTTATTTGGGACACTTTTCTTAGACTTTGCAACCTAGTTTTAACTCTGGGATATCTGCTGCTTCATTGAGTTAGTTGCTCTTATTTACAATATGAAAGGCCAGAGTTTGTGGGCACATTACCACAGAGGATCCCAAATGTGAAATACGTCACTCTCTGCAATGGTAAACCCAGCTAATTCCTTTCTTGAGTAGTTTTTGGGCCCAAAACAAGAAAAATATCCAACTTTAATAAGTCATACAAAACTGGATTTGAAAAAGAAAAAAAAGAACCTCACGAGATCCCATGACTTTTAACGAAAGTTATTAGCTCAGCACAGCTTTTTGGCCATTATTCAAACTGAAAGCACAGCAAAGTCTATAGTGGCATAGGTCAAGAAAATGGTTCCATATCAGGCAGGATATTTGTAATTTTAAAAAAAAGCACCCTTTAGATTAACATGTTGGCTCTTGAAGATGTTTTAAACTCAGGTGGTTACTTTTATTGTATCTTTTTTGACCCTGTACTTCCCAGTCTTCCTCGGGCTGATGGAGGACACAGAGGACGCGAGAGAGCTCATTGTTTTGGCTCCATATGGGACACCGAGGAGCTCGATCAAACTGCCAGGCTCTGATTGTCCAGAAGCAGATGACATTCAAATGAGATGCAGATTTCACTCCGTTGGCTTTACTTCAACCTACGCCTCTTCCTCTGACCCCACAGAGTATTCTGGAAACTACACTCAACACACTGGCTACAACCCAAAGATGACTAAAAGTCGTCGCTCGTCATCAGAACAGCCCCTGGATACGTGTAATACAACAAAACATCACTCCTCAGGTTACCGCGAAGAAACGTTACCTTTTTCTTTAAGGTCCACGCGGTGGCGAAGTTTCAGACTATATCCCTCTCAACTTTCCGTAAACACCGCTAAGGGTGAGTTAGCACAAACTTAGTTAAGAGTCCGTAGAAAGAGAAGCAAGAGAATTGTGGCAGGACGGTCCCTGTTCTGGTGCTCCCAACGTTCGTTTACTTTGCATCTGTGTGGCTCACAAAGCGGCCCTCCTCCTCCTCCTCCCCTCCCCTCCCGCGCTGGAGAGCACCACCTCCTGCTGCGGTTTAAAGGGACAGAGCGCCATTTATCCACAACGCCTAACAATAGCTGGGACTTCAACTTGAGTATCCCAAGCCTGACCCAGTGAGTGGTAAAGGCTGTTCCCCAAACTAGCTGACAGGGACTAGTTGCTGCGAAGTAAAACATTTGAACACTTAAGGGAGAAGCAACCACCGTCTGGCTTTTTGTACCACACGGGCTACCTTAGAAATGAGGCTGGCAGGGGAAACTGGTTATAGCCAAACTCTGCTATGCCCAAATGCAACAGAATTTGCCTACTGGCACATCTAAACCATGATCTAAACACAGGTAAAAATAATAAAATCTTGCTTGCTGTTCTGAACAAGGAAATCTGCTGTTCTGTAATGTTGCACCCATATTTAGCTCCATAAAATAACAGCTTTTTAAAAAAAAAAAAAAACCAAAAAACGTATTAGACTCATTTATTTGTTATGTAGATAAAATTCGCGTTTACAAATGCTTGTATATAGACTAGTAGTTAAAAGTGGACAGAACTTCATATATCATATACATACACTGAATCAATGTATCATCTAACTTGTGAAGAAGGTGAATAACCATGCACTAAAGGTCATGCTAATATGGTTAAATCAGTATGTTTTCTCACGTTAGCCTTTTAGCACCACATAAATGACTGCTATTGGTTTCAAACATGCTAAATTTCAGAAATGTGCACTTAGTGCAAGAGCACACAATTACAACAGGAGTTAATGTTCTTCTCTTTTCTAATTTGTAGTATTAGAACAAATGCACTGAAAAGTAGCCTATTACTATAATTAAAGGTCCAGGCACATTGATTTATATGATCACTAACTCATAATAGCCATGGAGGTAATTAGGTTAGACATAGTGCCCTTTTCTCCAATTATTCCTGACAATTTCCAGATTACATTAAAAATGGCCTTTAATTTCACACCCACAAAGCAAATTTACAATGTCTGATGTGTAAATCATCCAGGCCACATACAAATGAGCATGTGTGTGTGCGTGGGTGTGGTTACAATAGTAAGCTGGGCCTCAGGTGTGAACTTTAATTCTCCACTGACGCCCACCTGTCTGTCAAAGCCTAATTTTCCCACCTGTAAATATCATTAGGGCTTATATTTCAACATGATGAGCCAATTAGTGGTGTATTGTTTTACGGCATACTCTGTTTAAGTCTGTCAGAACTTCAGCGAGGGTAGGCAGGAACATGACACTTTGATGGCAGGTTTCCCTGAAGCAGGCCCCTTATTCATTTATTGCTTCCTTGTGTGGCTCTGTGTTCTTTGTTATATACTGCACACAGCCTAAATGACTACAGTAAATGGGGACAAAAGGTATTCTCTTTTCTCATAAAAAGCCTCTCAACTGAGATATAAATAATTGTGACCTACTATGAGTCCTGAAAACAATTTATGTCACGATTTTTTAGCTGCCTCACATTCCCAAGTCTTACTTTCCCCACATACTGTGGAAAGTTAGCGTCTTTTCAAACTGCGAGAACAGTGGGGTTCTCTGGGACAAAGGGTCTTTCAGAAGTGACTGAGGCCATTTTTCTGCTTTTGCCTATAATGTACACTAAGTCAGAAAACAATTTAAGCTTGATACAAAGAATACATTAGGAAGGCATTTATGAACAGCACAGAGGGAACATCCTATTTCTCAAATTAGTATCCTTTCTCCAACTGTCAGTATATCCTCTTCAAATCCCCAAGCCACACTCAGTGAAGCTCACAAATGAGGCAATTAAATTCAGGGTTTCAAACTCCTTTGAACTACACCTTCTGTCTGAATCCTTTAATATTCCAACTGAGGGTTCTCAAACTCATCAGGACTATTTGGCACCTTGGGCTCCCTTTTTAAAAAGGGACCACCAACTCACTCTTATCTGTCAGTCATTTCCTGAGGGTTAGAAGAAAGAGAGAGACAGAAGGAAATGAACATTTCAACAAGTGAAAAACCTCCGGTCTGTGATTCTTCTGTTGGAGGGAAATTTCCCATGTGTTTTCAAAAAAGGGATTAGTGCTCTGGACGCTCTTGTTCCAATTCCCTGTCCAATCCTATCCCATCTAATCTCCTCTCTTCTCATGCCTATGTGGTTAGTAGGTTAGCATTGGATCAAGTGACTGACTGTGATACAATTAGCATCTAACACCATCTGACACTGTACATGTGCTTCTGTATTACTGCATATAATGTTTGCACATATATTTTCAGTGCATCACCAATGTCCTGAGTAGATATTGGTATCACTTAATGTAAAGGCCCAACTGAGTTATCTCACTTGTGGTTATCTGGAAACCAGGAGAAAGCTGAAGAAGTCAGGATGGGACTTTGTAACCAGGTAACAGCATTTCAAAGAATCTTCAATGATCCAATTTATTTCTACCCTGAGTAACACAAGGTTAGATGTGATTTAATTAAATAATTAGCCATGGACAGATCCCAAGTGCTTGCAGAACTCATTTGTAAACAGAGTGCTTCTGGCATTGTGCACTCTGTTTTCTTTTAAGGTTTTTATCACGTTACAGTAAATAGTATTCGCTGCACTTTGCAGAAATTTTTGTGTCATGTTTAGAGGCACAATGGCCATTTTTCAATAGAAAGCAAGGGACTACTTTCTGTGTCTGAAGAAAAACTACTCAGGTGATTCCACGAACCATGATGCCCAGTTTGAAGAAACCATGTCTAGACGTAGCATGTGGCCCATCGCGTGATACTCAGGGAAGCTTCGGAAGACTATCAGTCCAGTCTTTTTCTTTATTCTAAAAGCTACAAAGATTGGAAAGTTAACGTAAAGTCTTCAAACATTTGCTGTTTTGGTGTGTTTACCACATATTCTGGCATATTCAGAGTTTACCAACCAATTAACTGGATCTGGGAAAGTAAGCCAACAACTAAACGACTGGCATTGTGAAAGATTTAAACAGACACACAAGAGGAATGGAGTAGATAGTGATCAATGGGTGTGGTATGATTTGCACATAGGTCCTCAATAATGTTGAAATCATTTGATTATGCACACACTTAGAGCTGAAGTAACATTTCCATTTTTTCTTGTATCGTTACTGAATAAGAGATTACTGTGATCACCATGTATGTTATTTACTGTGCTAGAGTGCGTGAGAAGGTTTACAGAGGAAATAGATTCAATGGGTGCTACTGAAAATGGAAATCTGCTGATTACTGTGGCACAGCTACAGAGGTCATGCAGCACTGGTTTGTGGCAAAAGTTGGAGTCACTGCTTCTGAACGAAGGCCTTTTTTTTCCTGCACAGTCTGAATAAGAAGGGGGTTATATCCCTTTAACACCACTGTTTGCATGTTTCCCTTCCTCCCATCTCCCCTTTACGTTTCACAATTCAATACCAGAATGGTTAACATTGAAAAATAATTTATTTCAGAAATGTACTGTGATCATATATTCATTCAGATTCTGCATGATAAGCTTTTGTTGCGTACAATGAAATCACCCCACAAATAATTAAAAAAAAAAAGTAGATGACATTTTTTTTCTGCTTTTTGAACTATGAAAACTAAGAACACACCACTGAGTCTTCACTATAGCGTTATGAGTGCGCCTGGCAGGTGGCTGGACCACGTCAGCCCTCTGTGGCGTTACTCCGGGCAGGTTTACAGTTGCTGCAGAACAATCTCTTTATAAACAGACATAAAGTGAATGATCTGTAAGCTTACACACGAGAAGAGTGACCACGCACACACACATGCACGCGCGCACACACGTAATTGCATCTGGGACAATACAGTCACACCTGAATATTACAGAGTGGTTGTTTACATAAAAGGAAAAGAGGTGAGGCAATTCAATGACATCATCTCTTGGTGCAGGCTCGGCGCTGCCCAGCGATAGTGATCAGTGACAGCGAAAAGTTATCTCAGCAGGGAAGAAAACAGGGGGGTGGTGGGAATCCTCTTGGTCTCTTATCAAAATCACACTGTAGAACTAGCAGCTGTGCTCCCTTATAACAGTTCCTGATGACAGTTTTGAGACTTCACCTCTTAAATTGGATTCCAAAGCATTTCAGTAGAATCGGACTCGTGAGTGTTTATGTGAGCCAGCAAAAAGTGAAATATGAGATATGGGTTTTGTATGCAAACTGATTCCCGGCCCACATGAGGCAACACGATGCCAAAGTCTCGGGGCACCATCAACAGTCCATTCACAATTGGTGCCAGAGATCATAAATATGTGTTTCTCTATCAAGGCATCTTCGATCCACTGTAACACACTCACAAAAAACAGACTTAAACACTTCCACTTAAACAGATATACACTCGTTTCATATATCTGCAGGATCCTTCAGGCACGCCGCAGTCACTGACATTTGACCTACTACTATGGCCAAATGCTGTCTGACTTTTTTTTTTTATGTATGTGTATGTTATAGGCCAGAGAGTTTTTCCATTTTAATCCATGATTGCTTCTTCAATGTCATTTTAAAACTCTCACAACCAGCACATTAAATGTCTTCGATTTGGCATAAATTCCACCTTTACGCTGGCAGCTTTTTGTTTTTACATCCAGTCCAAACAAATAATTGTTCTTTAACTTCCACAATATGGCTCCATCATATTGTCATATCAGTCTTCGTCAAAGTAGAGTCAGCAATGACTTGATTTTGTCTTCTAGGCATGTCTACTATAGAATATTTATATATATGTATATATATATTTATATGTGTGTGTGTGTGTGTGTGTGTGTGTGTGTGTGTGTGTGTGTGTGTTTTCAAAGATTCTAGTGACTTTGTACAGAATCAGATATTACCACTGAATGAGTTTAAAAAAGTAAAAAGAAGGAAATAAATGATAAAGCCATGCAAGTATTTCAACTAACAAAATAAAAGTGAATAGATGTTGCAGAGACCTTTTTTTTGTTTTTATCAGCCGGTGAGCAAAACCAAAGTTTACACTGGCACATTTTCACACATTGGACAAAAAAAACGCCTCAAAAAGTATCATAATGTTTTGATACATCCAAGCTCACAAAAAAAAAAAAACATGTAAGTTATGAAAAATAAATTGATGATGAAAATAAAGAATGAGCGACTTGATTGGGCTGACTGCAATGCTATGTTCTTCTTCAACACAAGTTGGGTAGGTATTTTCAGAAGTTTCTATGTCCTCAGTATTTTTCACACAAAAGAGGAAAAGCCAGCAATAGGGGCCCGTGAGCCAGGGGCTAGACTGCTGGGGGGCCTGTACAAGGTGCTGTGCTGGCTCGGAGGGTTGGAGCTCTGCTGGGAGGGGGTGGGAGTCCGGCTACCTTTGGGTCTAAAGAGGCTGCCTTGGCCCTGGGGCTGGCCCTGAGCCTGCTGAGGCTGAGGGCTTGGTGAACTCAGCTGGGGGGGCAGTGGAGGTAGAGGGGGCAGCGGTGGTGGGGCGCAGTGATCCGGCTCTCCTGACTCTGACTCTGTGTAGCTGTAGGCCTGCGCCCGGGATATGCCTTTCTGTTGGCGACGCCAGGAGTTGTAGTAGGTAGGATCACTTATGTAGTGGTTGACGAAGGAGTGGGTCTTCTGACGGTTAGGGTCCACCTCATACTCACTGTCGCTGCCCTGAGAAGCCAAAAAAAGAAGAGACAGCGGTTTATGTTATGAGTATGGTGTGACTCTGTAGTGTTTCCATGTGTAGCAGTTAAAGATGTTGAGGCTAGAATGAAAATGAACATGAAGTTATTGTGTTATTCTAAGGCATCAATTTACAGCCACAGCTGTCTAAAAAGCAAACACATGCAAACACTTACATTTACAACACAGCACAAGTACAGACGGACAAAATGGTCAAAGATGGTCAAAGCATGAAGGATGACTTGCTACTGAAACGTGCACAAGAAAACCGTCAACACGAGATGGCAAAGGTCAATTTGTCTTCGGGACTTTAACCAATAAGCAGATCTATATGTTCAGGATCTAAGACCTTGACCACACCACGTCAGCAAGACAGGGCTTGGTGTTGTGTTACACAGTGTGGCATATAAAACCTAACATGTAAGAGGAATCTGAGGGAAAGGATTGGATGGGGGCTACCAATTGGAACCAGTCGCCTATAGGGCTATATAACATTCAAAGCAGGCAGCCACAGGAACCTCACCAAATGCAGTGGAAGTGTATGTAGGCCACCTGTTCCATATGAAAACACCAGCGCCTCCTATGGGTGAACAAAACAATGGGTTTTACAGTACATCACCATAACAGAATGATTCAAATGGCCGAGTCATGATGGTGATAATGCCACAATATGTATAAATAAATGCATAAATACAGCCTTTGTGCCATTCTGTGCGAATGGTATGAAAAGGTAAAAGGATGAAATAAAAACACAGTTTTGTATTGTGCAGTGCATTTTCCAACACTACCATCAACTTTAAGAGTATATTGAGAGCACTGAAGCATTGTTAAAGTTATTTTTCTTCACATTTTAACTAAGTCTGAATTCCATTCTTGCTATGTGTAAAGAAATAATAGTTCTCAGCACATTCTCACCAGTGACCTTCCACCTTGCTGCAGGTTGAGCTAGAAGCACTATTGTATTCATGTCAAGAAACATTCCATGCATCAAACAAAAAGGAACGTGATCACTGAACGCTCAGCAGGGACTGCTCATGGTAATCTAATTGCCATGAAAGCAAACTGCCAATCGGCCAGGCAGCGTCTGATTAATCACCTTGCCACAATGAACATATGCACAGTTGACTGTGCCAAAAATGTCACTGGATAATTTCCCAAAGACGCTCTTATAAGCATGCAATAGGTGCATAACAAAAGCCTGTTCTCTTCAAAGTGGTATACCACCGAGAGGGTGCTGATAATCGTGAGCGTTTCAGAAATTTCTTGCTCTCTCGGGCCTTTCATAATCATGTACAGAAACATTGCTGTTGGCGCACACTCAAAGAACAGATCTCTCGCTGGATATTGCACAGCACATATGTCATACATATGGCAGTTGTCTCAGATTTCCCTGTGCCTCCTGGTTCATGCCTATGTCAAACCCCTATATAAAAGCTTTTGTTTTCTCCATGTCAGCAGAGTTTATAAAAGTCCAAACAGAAACTTTTGAGTGCTGAATTATAGGGAAAACGATCCTACATTTTGATTCTCTTTAAAAGAAAGTATCCTGTTTTTTTCCTCACGAATTAATCAAAGGCAGATACTACACAAGCCACATCCCCCTTAACATACCTTCTTTTCCCCCCCTTTCTTCTATATCGTTTTTCCTCTCAATAAAGGAGAGCCAGAGTGTGGGATGGCTCAGTATTTGTGTTTTAGTTTGCAATATTGTCACCCAGTTGTAAACACTTAAAACACTTAAGTCTGAGAAGCATTCTATTCATACCAGTCTATTTAGCAGCACAGCAACACAATAAAAACATCCATTCACAGTGGACCAGCAAGACACACTGAGGCACTTCAAGTGGCATTACTTCACTCTAAAAGAATTAAGCCAGCATTGAGAGATGAAAAACCACTCTAGCTGTGTGTGGCAACGGGAAAGCGTGACTGTAGACCAAGTGTTGACACAGGGAATTGCATCCTCCTGCCTGCTCCGACACAATTTTCGAGTGTGTGCAACAGATGTTGTGACTGTTAAATTGTTCTGCTTACAAGTACAGCGCTCCAATCTGTCTGCCTTTGCTTTTGGTTTATCACCAATATTTAACAGAAATAACACACGGATGCAATTGAGTAACCTAAAGTAAAGATGCTTAACAATTTGCCTCTGGGGCCGCGCAGCCCTTGATACAGCTCCTTATTTCAACTCATTACAAGCTAATTACTAGAGCTGAATGCTGTGACAGAAACAGACTTTAGGCATGAAATGCAGCATTGCACCTCAGCCTCAAGGGAATAACCGTCTCATTTATGCAAGGATATGTGTAAGACAGACACATACCAGCTTGCCTGCGTCAATTATTAAGCATTTTTTCATCATTTTGATGTTAAATTAGGCGGTGAAAGAGATTAAGACATCTATGCAATTAACTAGCGAAACCTCTTGACAGTACTTTATTTTATCATCGGCATAATAAAGTTGCTTTGTGATCCTGTTTACAGTTGCTAGCAAAGAAGAGGGAAAACAACAAAGGAGAGGAGGAAATAAAATTGAGAAAAAACATGACAAAGATGTGCATCAATCATGGGTCAGAATTACAGTTTCTTGGAGATAAATTGGTCATCATCAACAAACCATGTAGGCGTTCAGACAATCTATTTGAAATTTGACATCGGCTTGCTGAAAATGAGCTTGCTGTCATCTCTGTGTTTGCCACCGTCTGAATTATTCCCCTTTTTATCTGGATGTGTTGCTCCAGAAATGACATAGACTTACAGTCATGTTAAAAGCGCTTTGAATTAATTACTGCACTTTGTAAATAAATTCTCTGGTAAGCAAGGTCCCAACCCCATCCCCCCCAAAATTGATGCATACCCCAACAGTCGGCCCTTTGTCCTCTTGTTATGGATTATTGCAAAGAGGAGGGGGAGAAAGGGGATGCTGTCTAAGTCACTCTTATTGATGAAGTGAACACAGCAGGGGTCCTTTGAGATAAAGACAATGGCAGTGTATATGGGGCTGGAGGGGACTTGAAATCCCTGCACATTCACAGCACATATATCATTATGAGCTTTTAGCAAAAGCTGTGCAGGAAATTGGAAAGGAGAAGATGGGACACTTTTGCTAGCGCTAAAATACCAGCTTTATCAAAGCAAAGTAGCATACTGCCACCATCAAGGCAAGGCCTAAGCCTCCTTTGTAGTTCCAGTCTCCAACTAGTAAACTTCATATTGCTTAATCAGAACAATTATATTCAGAGAAATTTAAAATCGTATTGATCATTAGAGCTGCCCCAGAAAGATGAAATGCATAATGGAAGCATGTGAATTTATTCAGATTTTTCCCTTTAGAAGTGATGCCTAGTTTAAGGAAGCATGTCAGTTTAATGCTCGTTTTACATGCGCTTCATCCCATCCAGCCAATATAAATGTCTGCGTCTTTCCAATAACCTCTGTTTTCTACACAAGCCAAAAAGCTATTAATATCAACTCTTATTTATTTGCGGTCGCAACTGAACTTTATTCTGGGTTATGACATGAAACTTTAAACGTGGCTGGTCAAAATTAGTGTGTTGTCATTAGTGACAATCCAAACATTACAGATAATATTGTCGGTTGAGTCTCAGCCAAAAAAAAAGCTGCAGTAACCACAGAGGCAGCGAGTATTAGGATGGAGAAAGAGAGCGGCAAAGTCTGAAAGAAACAATATGTGAGAGAAAGCCGACATTTTCATCTCTCTCCCTTGGAATGCCACTCTGCAGAATAAACATAATCTATAATATGACTCAGAGATGAGGTCATTTGCCTTTAACTGGTTTCGGCTTTAAATTACACACAAAGACATTGCCACAGAGACAACCTTGGAAAGCGAGAAAACCTACACTCTAAAGGAAAAAGGGAAGTCAATAGGTCTCTACCTGCAGGGGAGCAGAACAGTAATGGTGACCCTGTTGCCTTGCTAAGTCAATGTTGGCTTTCTCCAAATCCCCTCTTCACGAGGAGCACAATAGTGAACTTATACCTGCTGGGGGAGGCCGTGGGGATTAAGGAGGACAGACAGCACAATGTCATACTGATAGCTATGAGTTATCCGCTCAATAAAACTTCAAAGAACATTCCTAGATTTTTTGAGCACCACTGGTGCTGATATGGTGGTCTGTCAGGAGCATGGCAGGGGAGCCTTGGGCTAACAGAAAGGCTCTGTGCATTTCACTCCATCAAAGCCAACATCGACCCCTCGAATGTGCAGAGTGGCAGCAGACAAGTGTCGTCATCCAAGGGGGGCAGTAACTGCATTAGGGCCATGCTTGACAATACACAAGTGTGAATGGTAGATATGTCAGACAGGCGTTGAAATGTTGAAATGCTTCATTTGAGGGGATGTTATGGTGCTGTGAAAGGTCCTGTCTGTAGCACTTCATTGTAGAGAGATTTCTATTTGATCTGGAAGCATGACTTAGGTCCCGATAAAGCGAGGTGGGGAGAGATTTCTGGCTTTTGGAATTCACACTACAGACTTATTTATCTGAAAGATTTTCCAAGATATTTTGGGAAAATGCAGAGAGCAAAGAATTCCCAGATGAAAGAAAAAAACTGAAGGAAGCCTGATAGCAAGGGAATTCCAGACTACTTTCCCCTGATGCTTTTATCTTGCAAGGCTCCAAACCAGACTGCAGATTGCAAGATGAATCACAAAAACCACAGAGAGGATGTGATATAAACGAAAACAGAAACAGCATAGTGTATACGCACATAAGACCAGACAGAAGAAATTTAATTTGGTTAAAAGCGTGAGAATGAGAACAGACAAAAGCCAAGATGGCACACGCTGATCAATAGAAAGACAGATGCAGACAGACAGAAGGGCACAATTTATTGATCACACTCGCTGGGTAAAAGCAGTTTGGCTCAGCACAAAGGCCACAAGTCAGACATTCTGACATCAGTTTTTAATAATCTATCAGTCCGAACAGAAGACTTTAAAACTTCAAACAAACTCAAAATTATGATCGCGTTTTAACTATCAAGATCCAATACAGTGCTCTTTTTTTCCATAGAGATCAATTTAACTAACTCTGATCTGACTTGCTGAAAAGGAATATTGGATAAACTATCTGTCTGGAGAGGCAATTTTTACTACGTAGCTAGCTGGAAAATAAATTTTGCAGAGTGCATGCCCTCTCGCTGCCTTACATAACGAGTGCTGTGGCTGAGTGCAGTGACCTAGATCTCAGGTGGATGTTTGTAGAGTGACATTCTCCACAGGTTACTGCCTGGTCTAAAAACTGCTTTGCCACCAGTAAGCAGAGTCATTAATCTCTCATCTCGCCATGTGCATTACTGTAGCTGTATCTTATGACCTCTGCAGGCCAAACACATTGAGATGGGTGACACAAAAAGGACACCAGCATGAACAGGCAAAAAACCACAGAACAGCTGACAATGCAAAGCTGAATTCCTGAGGAATTCGAGGAGATGACGGTGGGTACACGTACACAGGTACAAACAGGACTGAAATACTACTTAGGGAAGATGCAGTATAAAACAATATAATGCTATTGCACCTGTGAGTCTGAGATTTCTGAGGGTTTTTCAGTCAGGCTGCTGCTCTCTGCAGGGATCAGGTCGTTGTACTTGGTGCTGACATCCTCGTCCGAATAGTGAAGACTGCCTGGGCTGGGCCTGGGAGGAGACCTGATCAAAGAGTAAATGCACACAATTAGTTTGATTCAAACTGGTTGTCAAGCTTAACAAAAGAAACCCTGGCTTTTCAAAAACAAAACCTTTTGGAATAAATCAGGTTGTATTTTAAATGCCAGTACATCTCACTGGGTTGAGCAGGCTAATGGAGAGGCCCAGTTTCAAATCGACCACAAGACTGTTTTCTTCCAGCTTTCATGTCATCTCTCTGCTGCTCTATTCCAATAAATAGTAAAAAGAAACTTAAAGAATACTCCCAGTCTATTAAAACCTGGGTTAACTGTCTTATTACTTATTCTTTGTATAGATTTGTTCCTTTAAAATTAGAAATTGTAGTCAATACAGTTTTTGATAAACAAGCAAATGCCGTGACTCTAGATGTTCTCTCTAACGTCTGAGACACTACAGTTAGGGCTTCCTGTCAAGCTCACATGTGTTCTCTCTTTCAGTGTGTGTAGGAGGGCAACTAGATGAGAATCATGGGACACTCATGAGATGGCTGCTTACAGCCTGTCTCTTCTGCAGTGAATAATTTCCTTGATTCAGTCCTCACTGTGGGCTGTGGAATGTCAAACCACTAGGCTCTTGTGACTAAATTATAAACTGAACTCAAGGGGTCATCAAACAAATTGCAGCCTCAGGCTTTGCTCGGGTAAATGTTATTGCACACTACACAAAATGATGGCATGGATTAATGTGTCAGTGCGCATACTTAGGTTATCACATTTGGAATTCAGATAGAAGCTTAAAGAGGGGTGGCCGAGGAAAGGGAGGATCATTAAAGTGTGGGGGAAGGGAGGATAGGGACAAGGTGTTCAATGAACCTGAAAACTGAAAGAAAGATGGAATGGGAAAAACGTGAAATAGTTGGAAAAAAGCATTCCCTAAAATGGTGCGCTTCTGTCAGGGGTGTGTTCAGTAAATATGAGAGTAATAAAAAAGCTCTTGGTTCCTAATCTCCTCCACATTTTCCACTGTTCCTAGTCCTCCTAAATAAACACCCATCTGTTTCTGCTGATTGGTGCTGGTTTGGCGGAGACTACTTGGACATACTGACTCCTGTTGACTTTCCAGGCCACAGCGTCGGCCGGCAGTCGCTGCCAGTGGAGCTGCTGGAGTGCACACACAGCCGCTCCACACATTGAAAGTGCATTTGCATAAGCATTTTCCATATAAATATATTTGGAGAGCATTTCAAAAATGCGGGTAAATTCCAGCAGTTTTCACAGGGCTGGTACTTTGAGTGCAGTGTGGACGAAATGGAAAACTCCACTGGGAAATCACAAAGCAAGCTCTAACTCAATTACACTCTGAGAGTTAAACTAAAGTTAATTCACTTAACTTTAGAAAATTGAAACATGTACAATGGAGTGCTCCTATACAATGAGCTCAAGTTTTTCTAATTCGTGTGCTCTTTCTACATGACTGAGAATCTTAGATTGACAATCTTGGTGTCATCTTTTATTCCTTTCTTAAATTTGACTCAAAGATCAAACCAGTCACATTTCCGCCTCCCTCCTAAATTTACATTATCTACCTCACAAACAGTCTTCAAATCCCAAGTGAAAACGTACTCTCTCGCCCTTGTTTTTCCCTTGAGTTTCAATTAGTTTATTAAGCTTGTGGATCAGGCAGCAGTAAAGGGCAGAGGTCCCTGCAGTTTGATCCTAAGCTGGTGAATATGGCTAAAGGAATTGGATCTGTTATTTATCCTCTTGATATTTACCCTCTTGAGGTAATTTGAGGGGAGGTTTGCCCAAACAGTCTGCATGTGTTTTGTGGACCTGGAGAAGGGATTTGACCATGTCTCCTGGGACATCCTGTAGGAGGTGCTTCAGGAGGATGGGGCGACTGGCCCACTGGTGCAGTTGTACAGATCATCCAGTCCTTGTGCAACTGCAGCAAGACCCATTCCTGGTGGGAGTTGGACTCTGCCAGGGCTGCCATATTGAATATTTCTTTTCTTCTTCTTTTTTTCTATGCACATGTATATTCATTTATATACATTTGAGTATTGGAGGAGGGTCGCTACATGCTGTGTACAGCATGTCTACTGTTTTTACCAATTAATGCAAATGCAATCGACCTACTTCTACTACCCCTCTTAGTATGTTGTTGTGTTTTTTATGTATGCGTTCTTTTATATCTTATATAAAAAAAATTAAACTGAGTATCACCAATACAGAAATATAAATAATGCAATAACAAGCTATCTTTTTTCCCCAATTCTCCAGCATCCTTTAGTGATCCGTTTAACAACAAAGCTTTGCATCAGTGTAAATGTTAGTGGATTTTTAAGTTAATGACAGAGGAAATTTCCCCCAGGAGTATAATTTTTCCATAATCACAGGTCTGAATTTTTATCTGCACTTATCCCCAGAAGGACTCCACAAAGTAACCTTCAGCAACTTGCATTCCTCTGTAGTCCTCTTAGCAAGCCCCCTCCTAACACAGCCAAACAAAGAATCAAGCCAAAGTGAAGAACAGCTATTGCGAGCCTACTGGGATATTATGATAAACTGCCCGTTTTAAAACACTGAGGAATCTCAGCCCACTTTCACCCCCTTCTCCTTGACTCGCATACACTGTTGAATGAGGCGTAAATTATTTATCAGCGCTCTCATTTGGACGGAGAAGGGTCCACTTAATCCTCTCACAGCAAAATTCAGTCAGCAGCACGTCAGGTAAGGAATGAGAACCAGAGGGTGAAATCAAATCTGCCCCCTGGTCTTTACTCATTACCAGGCTCTCTTGCTACAATCGCCTGAAGGGACTCATTAACATGTCTGAAGTGTTCGGAAGCTTTGTCACTCAAGAGTGTTTAAAACCATGTTAATCTACACTGAATTACCTCGCCGAGACCTCTTTAAACCCACAACCAGTGTCAAAGTTGGTTTCAAAAAACAAAAAGACGCTACTACAAAGCCAAGAAGGGATTGCACTCTTAATCCTTCCCTCTTGATCATAGAAGAATTTGAATGCCAAACCTGAGACACATTTAGAGTTCTTTGGTTTGATAGCATGCCGTTTATGTGCTATTAGTGTGCACTCATTACTACTGCCATATATATATATATATATATATATATATATATATATGTTTATGAGACCACACTTTATCTAAATTCTTTATATTTTACCAGATTGATGTGTTTATCTATTTTGATCTCCTTACAGGAAAAAGGTACACTTAAAGTTTAAGCGGGGCAGATTAAGTCATCGGTGTCCAACGGTACTGAAATCCCTGTGCGTTGAGATTCTCCACCAGACATATTGGCCCTTGTATTAAACTCTGAACAAATAATCTCCACATAGAGAAAATCTCTGTGAGGATCAGCTTCAAATGGCATTTGCTGTCTGACACAGTTCTGAATTAAAATGAACACAGCAGGATTAGGAACGTGTTTGATTTCTGATCCTGGTATAATGCAAAAGAACTTCATCCTGTCTTTGGTATTCAGAGACCAGAGATCAAGATGTGGCATTAATCTATAATCGGAGACTCAGGTGTTGGGATTTGGTTTCCTTCGCTATGGGCTGAGTTCAAAGAATGCTGACTGTACATCTGTGCATTCTTTCCCTCTGAGCCTCCCCCTTCAAGTCAGAGACATAGTAGTAGGAAGCTGCCTGGAAGCATCTCAAAGACCTGTGCCTGCTTTGATCTGTCCTCAAGGTTACACACACACACATATACTCATAGAAAGACACAACCAAACATATTTCTCAGTCAGAGAATGTATTTGTCTCATTTGCATTCTTTTCACTCAAAGGATAGTAATATCCACATGACATAACTGACAGTCTGTCCAAAAACAACATGAAAGCAGCTGTCTATAAATCCACATCTTATATGCAGAATAAACAGGTTTTAATGAGCTAACACAAAGTGTGCAGTCACATCTAAACCTGGACTTATGACTTAGTTCGTGCAGTATTCTCAGCACAGGTGTCAGTCACAGTGATTGGTTTTTAAAACGAGGCCATGGCCTCAAGACCAGTATTGCTGGGAATTCACAGAAATACAGAAGCTCATTAAGAGAGGCTGCAGTGAGTCTCTTTATATGCTGCTTTTAGATAGCGGAAGAAGTGCATTTGAGTTGTCAAGAGTATTTTTTTTTTCAACAGAGCTGAAAGTGTTTTCAGGCATGAGGTATAGCTTCCACAGATTACCCAATTATTTTTACCGTATGGCTGTTTCATTTGGACATTAAATTAAACTTTTCTTTTAAACATTATCGGAACATGAATTTTCTTGGAAATGTGTTGCTCACTCACCTGGTGTAGACGCCGTTCTTCCGGCAGAAAGAGTTTTTTACAGACAGCCGTCGATTGTTAAGTTCCAGAGCTGGGAAACGTCCTTCATCCAGGCTGACCATATCTCCGTGGGTGAGAGCGTTACAGTTGGAGTTGTTACCTGGACACACGTACAGAGACACTGTGTGACCACAGGCCAGATGGACAGGCAGGTTAGTGTCTGGGAAAACTGATGGAACTACGTGATCTTTTTTTCCCTTTAAATTCTCAATACTGAAATAACATTTTATTCCCAAAGCTGTCTACACTTTTTATTACATAGGCTTTTACTTCATCAGTCATGCCATCAGATGTCATTGTGTTTATTTTAAAGGTTCAAATTGTTGAAGTAAATACAGCGGGGGGAGCTATTATTTGATTCCCTACTGATTTTTTAAGTTTGTTCACTTACAAAGAAACATACAGTCTCTAATTTTAGCGAGAAGCAGAATATCAGCGAGAAATCCAGAAAAAACTGATTTGTGATTGAGTGAATTAAGTATATGATCCCTAGGGGACAAACTGCCTGTGTGCTCATGTGGCACACAGATTATAATCAATCAATCAATTATAGATACTGATCTCAACTTGTTATGTGTGTAAAGCACGCCTGTCCAGAGAATATTTTCTTCCCTTCCAACCTCTCCACCACCATGGCCAAGACCAAACAGAGGAACAGATCAGTGGCTAAAGGAGAAGTACATTAAGGCCATGGAGTTGCCTAGACAGTCTCCAGATCTCAATCCTCTTGAAAATCTGTTGCTGAAGCCAAGTAGCAGCCAAGAAAACGACGGGATTTAGAGAGTTTGAGTATAGCCGAAGTAGGCCAAAGTCCCTCCTGAAACGTGTTCAAACCCAGTGACCATCTCCAAAAAATATCTTACTTACTGCTTGGGTTTCTCCACCAAGTTGTGTTTTCCTTGATAACCAAATACTGATTTCACACATACATCTAAATCAATGTATAATTTTTATGATATGTTTTTTTATGGGTTTTCGTCACTCCATTAAAATCAAACAAAGAAATAGAGATCGTCCATTTCTTTGTAAGTGAGCAAACGTACAAATTCAGCAAGGATCAGATAATTATTTCTCCCACTGTAGTAGTATTCATATTTATGACTTGCAGCAATAACTCACAATTTGAAAAAAAATACACTTCTTCACTTTCTAGCCAAGCGTAAGAAGAAAAGATCAATAAAACAAAATATGTAACTGGAGCCAGGAGCTGATTAACTTAGATACCCTGGGATTAGCTAGCTTGGGATGTTAATTAGTGAGGTTCAGAAGTGCTAGTTGTTGGATTGTGTTTTCCCTCATACAGCTAGCTGATTCCCTGTTTCCAGTCTTTGTTAGGTATTCCAACCATTTTAGACTCTAGCTTTTTATTAAACAGACAGCTGCAAGAGCTGTAATAATTCTTACAAACTAATCCTCAACAATAAAGTAAACTTTTTCCTAATAAGCGTCAAGTCAAGCGATGTAGATTTTCAAGTGTCCAAAAAACATGTGAATGAAAATGAGAAATTCGGCAGGTTTGCAGGGCATGTCAGTGGAAATTCCCTTAGAATATAGCAACACAAATTTAGTATAAATTACATAGACAGGGCTTAACATATTTATTAAACCACCTATCATAAAAACAGAGAAACATAAATATTTTAGACATCTGTCAAAAATTGTATGTTTTTATACCTAAACTTGAGCGCCAGGCTCTGCACCTCTCCAATAAGTCAGAAATTAATCAAGTATAAGATTCAAAAACCAAAACAAGTTTTTTCTGTTCAGGAATGCAAGTAAAAAAAATGCAATTTGGCATCTGAATCAAAAATTAATAATGTGCTTTACTAAATTTCCAGCTCTGTTGTAAAACATTACACTTGAAAATTCATGGATAACAACAATAATTATATTTTTGCATTAAATTAAATATCATTTTAGTTAAAGACCTTGCAGATAATGATGGTTTAACTGTTAAAAAAAGCATTAAAAAGATTTTGGTATTTACCAATACTATAAATTTAGGTCAGCCGCAGCATTATTGTTAATTCTGTATATAAAGAAGCACATTCATAATCTATAACCAATGACTGGGCTAAACTCACAATTGACATAAATGTTTAACTTTGACTTTAAGTCTCATGATTTTACTATATTAAACAATATGAACAGGATGGTTTCTATATAAGATTAATTTTTCGAGACTATTTCTCACCATGTTATAGGTTAGAAACACTTTCAGTCATCCTACAGGTGGCCACAGCCAGGCCAGGACCTGCATGGTTGCTCGAGGGTACTAAAGGTCAATTGGTGGTTATGCCAACACAGAGAAAAAGAAATAGCATTCGGTCGGTCCAGTGGCCTGGGCCAGATTCCTAGAGGAGGATATGGAGGCTTTGAGAGTGTCTTTGTGCTGGAATGAGAAGGAACCTCTTGTTTTCTCTCCATCAGTCAGAAAGATGGGCAGTGACCCACAGGGACCCCACCCCTCCCCTGCCTGGCAGTTAAACAGCCCTGGCAAAAGTGCTGAGCTGAGGGAAATACCCGCTGATGTCAGAGCTGCTCTGAATGGACAAGTATGCCCCTCGTTCCTGCTTCCTTTCTCTCTTTCTCTGCTTTTTATTCCCCTGCAACCCAGTCAGTGACCTGATTCATTCAAAAGCAGAATTCACCCCCCTACAAAACAAAGTTAACTCAATTTCTCTGCTCAGTATTTCAAAAGTAATAAAATAATAATAAAATCCCTGTAATAAGTTTTACTGTTTTATTTAAAAAAGGCAAGTTATCAGATTCCCTCCATGCCACCAGGCTGGAAGCAAAATACAAGCTTCCATGATAGTTAAATGTTCCACTTAGCTGCACAACTGTGTGTACTCACCTGATTCAGACTTTTTTGCATACTTCTTGCTCTGTCCTCTGATAATGAGGATGAAAACTAGCAGCAGAATGAAGATGAGTCCCACTAGAGCCACCACGACCAGGAACCACCATTCCTCATAGAAAGGAGCCACTTTTTGGGCTAGATAAGAAAAAAAACCCAGAAAATTGAAATTCATGCTTGTTAAAAACATGTAGCCACATTCCTGTGAAGTCTGAATGACCTAAGGGGATTTAATTAAGCCCGAAAGTTAATGTAATTCAGTTCATTCAATTCTATTAACAAATACAAGAAAGCTCACCAGATATGGAGGGAGAAGGTAGACTCGGAGAGCCATAGCCATAGTCGTTCACTCCAATGACCCGAAAGTCATAACTGACACCTTGTTTCAGGATGTCCATGTTGAATGTGTGCGATGTTGCATCCTTGGAGATGTCCTTGATTAAGATATCCCACAAACCCTCATCTGTAATGGAATTTTAATGGAAAAATTGGGTCGGAGGAGGCTGACGATATTCGTTAAGCAAGCAAAAAATATTTAAACAGTGTCAATATGTCATTGTTAACAGGCTGTTTGTTTGTTTGATACAAGGCTCCGGCCTGGCTGGCAGCTCTGAGGGTAATTGATAATTCTTAAAAATATTACACAATCCATCAATTTCACTGCTCTCGTAAAAATTTACAACCAACAAATTCTACAACATAAATAGCGGAGCAGCCATATTTCAAATGAAGCAGCGTTAGATGTCTTGCTGCTTGCTATGGAAATCATGCCAGAGATCATTTATTACACCCTGCTGCTTGTAAATAAATGTGTAGCTATGACTCCTTGATAGGGTACACAAATATAACCAAGTATGGATATAAATTTTTTATGTTGCTGAACTTTGACAAACATTTTTAAAAAAACAGCGTAATTTGATCTAAAGGCAAAAATAAGTTTTCAAGTAATTGGATACTATAGAAACTTATCACCACTGGCATATGGATAAGGGGGATATGGGATATGGGAAA